TGGAGGTGTAGAGGTGATGGAGCTCTAGAGGTGATGGAGGTGTAGAGGTGATGGAGCTGTAGAAATGATGGAGGTGTAGAGGTGATGGAGCTGTAGAGGTGATGGAGGTGTAGAGGTGATGGAGGTGTAGAGGAGATGGAGGTGTAGAGGAGATGGAGGTGTAGAGGTGATGGAGCTCTAGAGGTGATGGAGGTGTAGAGGTGATGGAGCTGTAGAGGTGATGGAGGTGTAGAGGTGATGGAGGTGTAGAGGAGATGGAGGTGTAGAGGTGATGAGCTGTAGAGGAGATGGAGGTGTAGAGGTGATGGAGCTGTAGAGATGATGGAGGTGTAGAGATGATGGAGCTGTAGAGGTGATGGAGCTGTAGTGGTGATGGAGGTCTGCTGTAGAGGTGATGGAGGTCTGCTGTAGAGGTGATGGAGCTGTAGAGGTGATGGAGGTCTGCTTTAGAGGTGATGGAGGTCTGTTGTACAGTAGAGGTGATGGAGTCTCTCTGTTTGACTGGCACAGACTCACACTGTGAGGGTTTTTCTGATATGTCACTCTTCAAAGTCGAGGCTGGAAATGTTGACCTTTGGCTAAAAGCCTCCTGCAACACACACACACACACACACACACACACACACACACACACACACACACACACACACAGCAGGTTGATTGAGAGAGAGATCTCTGACTTTTAACTGTAATCGCTGATGGCTGTTGCTGGTGTGTGAGTGAAGTGATGGAGCAGGGCGAGTCTGATTGGTCGTGGTGGGAGATGTACACAGTAGGTGAGCGTCTCATTAAACAGGGTCAATATGTTTAGTCTAGATTGACTTCATATATTTTAGGTAGAGCACTCTGTAATATGGGTTTCTGATCATGAGAAGGTTTAACAGAGACTGGACTTCATTAATTGAGTCATCATCATGCGTCTGCTGTCCTGTTGCTTAATATAAATACAGAAGCCTGTCATCAACATCAACATGATAATAATATAAAGCTCATCCTTCATATTATATTCACAGACGTACCCGAGCCCATAGCATGCCCTAACCCTTACAGAAACATTACAGATCTGTCTGAAGCTGAGCACGTGTAAATGATATGCTCCTGATCTTTGAGTTCCTCCATGATAAATACACAAAAACAGGACTCATGTTTCGGTTCGTCACTCATTTCTTGAATCTGCATATTTTTGCTCTGGGAAATGTTGCTTTCTCCCTCAAATACAGCTTCTGACAAGCAAGAAGCAAAAGTCAAAGTCAGTGGTGTTGGAGATGCGGCTGCAGGAGGCGAGGCAGAAATCTGTTGATCAGTCTAGTTCCTGCACTCGTGCTGTTTTCACAGAATGCCTCGGATAAATAGTAAAACTAATCATTTTAAACTCTCATTCATCCCCTCAGCTGTGAAGTTTTTACATTTAGGGTAGAGTTTGTGTTGTATGATGTACTTTTGTGTATTATGTGTGACATGCTTGTATGCTGCAACCAAATTGCCTTCGGGAACTGAATAAAGACTGACTGACTAGATAGGGTTGGGTATCGTTTGAGGTTATTTGGAGAACGGTGCTAAATCAATACTTTTAAGACAGTACCAGTGCCAAAACGGTGCCTGAACCGATACTTTTTAAATATATTTTAATAATTATAATGGAATAATACAAATATATATTTATAATAAGTTTAAAGTAACCACCAGTTTATTTTTTATATATTTGAATTGCATTATTATATTTCTTTTGATCATTTGTTTGTTAGCATGAATGCTAGATTAGCATTATGCTATTAACATTACATTAGCTTACTACTAACCTGTGGAAAGGCTGTCATCAACATCAGGAAACACCTTTTTTCTGGGTTTGGGACTCGTGACTACTTCGACATGGACATCAGTGATCTAATGATCCTCCTTAATCTGAATAAGACACTAATATGATTCAGCTGTTTACATGAGCTGCTTTTATGATTCCCAGTTACATGTTAAAGCACATAGTCCAGTAACATCATTGCGTCAGCAGCCTATTAATGTTTCCTCTGCAGTTTGTGTCTGTGGTCCTTTAAGATAATCAATAATCAGTGTTGACGTGGTCGACTCTTGATCAGAGTATTGTCTTAATCATATTAAAATCAGAGTATTGGTGTCCATGTAAACACACTCACTGATCACCGTTAAGCTGATTCCTTGAGCCTTACATTTCTTGTATTAAAATGTATAAATATTTTATATACTACTTGCAATACAGTTTTGTCCTTTAATACAGTCAGATATATGAACTGCACCTTTAAACAACACGAGCATTTAGAGCAAATAAACAAATATAAATATCCCGCTCGCTTTCTGAGCCTTGACCAGCAAGTTCTTTCTTACACCCCTACGATTGGTCACACGCTCAACAGAAAGGGCTGCAGGCACGCGCTCGTCTCTGCACACGGTACGCTTTTTGCTCGTGTTTTCCATCGATGCTTAACGCCTCGTGACTAAATAAAGGGCTTCAATGTGATCGTGCACAAAACGGCAGGCGTAAAAGTGTAATTTTTAAAGGAGCATCTTATGCTTATTTTTTTGATTTGATGCGCCACACCTAAACCTTCTCCACCAATCAGATCATCACTATTGTTCACGTGCACGGAGCTGCTGAAGTTACAGTAAGCAGCACTTGGAGGCGCTCAAGCGCAACACTGTCAATGTGAGCACACAGTGAAGAAGATACCCAGAGGGATATGAACGTGGAGCTGCTTATTGCTCTGATGAACACTCATCCTTTCCTCATTGCTAGAGCTGGAGCTGCTGCTTCAACCATCCTGTTCGAGTCACCAGTAACTTTAACAACAAGCGTGTGAGCTTCCTCTCTTCTTCTGTGTTACAATCGCGTGTCAGAAGCTTAAAGTTGTGTAGCGCCATCTAAAATCAAGGAGTGATTCTGCATCCTCATCTGCTCGACGCCAGTCAAAATCTCCTGGGTTTGAATCTGCAAAAGCGTCTTGAAAAACTCTGACGATAAACACAAATGAAAAGCGTCCCGGTGTGTACGAGCCTTAAGAGGTGTTCTGGCTTAATAAAGATTCAGTAAGTACTACACCAAACAGTTGTACGACATAAAAATGTTCTGACCTTTGATTAAGACTACTGATAGTAATAAATCTGTGTTTGCTGGATACTGGGAACAGACATACCCAATCTGCCTGAAGTACTGGGACAATGTGCTGCTTCTCCACGGTTTAATGACAGAAGGAAGAGCGTGTGTGGAGATGCCGACGCGGTAAACAACATCAGAGCAAACACAGAGGTCAGTCGACACAATGTGCTCCCACCAGACCTGAGATCTCTCTCGAACCCGCACATTCCTCTGCATGGTGGAGGACATCATACAGCATATAAACCACAAGCACAAGCGGTGATGACGGCCCTTTCACTTCATGTTGTAACGTTTGCCATTTGTCGCTATTAATACACTCAAACACCAGTGCGCGCACACAGGCAACGGCTACATCTTCAACTACATACACACACACACACATCAGGGCCATGCCATTACATAAACTGCGTGGGAGTAAATCTGGACTAAACCATTCACTGCTTATACTACACTTCGCATATTTCGCAGAGCTAAAAACAAATAAAAAAAGACAAATTCTTCCATCGTGGCCAGGGCCGGTGCATCCATAGAGGCGACCTAGGCGGCCGCCTAGGGCGGCAGTATAGAGAGGGCGGCATCCGCGACACCTTCCTCACCACCCGCGTCCTCAGATGTATTCGCGCATAGACGACAGAATAGAGAGGGCGGCGTCAGCGACACCTCAATCAGCACCCGCGTGTCCTCAGTTATATCAGCGCATAGGGCAGCAGAATAGAGAGTGCAGTGTCCGCGACACCTCCCTCCCTCCCTCAGCACCCGCGCGTCCTCAGTTATATTCGCGCAAAGTGCGCTGGAAAAGAGGTCCGCAATACCTCACTTCATTTTCATAACCGGTCACTTTCATTTTCACATTGGGGTTGAGGGCGGCATGATGGTCCTCTGCCTAGAGCGGCAGTTCAGTTTGCTCCGGCCCTGATCGTGGCTAGTGTGGCACAGAAGCTGGAACCCGCCTTTATGTATGCGCGACATCGTAAATGGTATGACAAGTGTAAACGCATGAATTGGATATGGGTCACAATTAAAACAACGTGTAAACAGACAGGCAACAAATCAGAGACAGGCAACAAATCGGATTTGGGCATCAAGACCTGACAGTGTAAACTGGGCCAAAGTCAAACACCCTCCTCACCCCTCACCACCGTGTCGATCCCCACTCGCTCTTCAGACATGTTGCAGGCACTCTGTCAAACCCCTGTTCTCTGTCAAACATATCTATAATTATTCATGATTACTATTGATACTGACCAATAATGAAAGGGTCATGTGTGTTTCTGAAGATGTGTGTGAGCATGTAAAGGCTGATCTGTGGTTTAGAGAATAATCTGAGCAGCATCACTGCGGCGTCTGTAGACACAGATTTAGTTTCTCGTCTCGTCAGTATCGAGAGAACAACAACTGTTTTCCTCTGCGTCTCCACCGGCGTGTGTCCTGCAGAGCGTCACGGGCACCTCTGCATCTCAGAGTTTATTTAAACGTTCATCGTTCTGTCTTCAACAGAGACGCGAGCTCAGGAAAGCTGAACCCGAGACGGTTTAGAGTCATCAGTCATCGTGCGTGTCCCCGTAACTCTAGTGCCCTCAGCAGGGTTAGTGGTCTCAGCTCAGGTCAGCTCTGCTGTCGCTTCAGTTTCCTGTATGTAAATGAGCTGTGTTCCCATTGGCCCAGCGCTGGTTCTCACGCCGGCTTGACCCTCCGCTGCCCCCTGTGCCGTCACCGCCGGGGTTTTAGGACGCACCGTGTCAAAGTCTTGTTTGAGGAGAGCAGGAGGCGTCCTGTTTTCCATCATCTGTCATGGTCATGTGTTTATTCAGGTTTATTGCTGTAATTGTGCTGTGCAGCGAGTCGAAACACTCATAAATCTGACCTGTGATTGCAGGAGACCGACCTGTTGGACATCTCGCTCATCAAGGACACCAGGACTGGGAGGTTCGCCAAGACGCCAAGGGTGAGTGTGTGTGTTAAGAGCGGAGCGTGTGTTTGTACAGACGCATGATGATGAACAGACATCGTGAGCTCCTCACTCCTGGCACGAAGACTGTGTGATGATAAACACAGAAGTGTCCAGAGCGGAGAGTGCTGACAGAAAGCATAGCAGCTCTTCACCAGTGTGTGTGTGTGTGTGTGTGTGTGCGCGTGTGTGCGTGCGTGCGTGCCCGTGCGTGTGCGTGTGCATGTGGGTGTGCGTGTGTGTGTGCGTGTGTGTGTGTGTGCGTGTGCGTGTGCGTATGCGTGCGTGCGTGCGTGTGTGTGTGTGTGTGTGTGTGTGTGTGTGTGTGTGTGTGTGTGTGTGTGTGTGTGTGCATGTGCAGAGGTAATATAGTATTTGTTGCTGTGTTAGCCTGTTAGGATAGGACAGTGTTCATACAGGAAGTGGAGTGGAGGGCCGGGTCTGTGCTGTTCTCCAGTGTTCAGGCTGGATGCAGATCATCAGTGTGTTAGACAGAGACGCTTTCAGTGTGTCCAGCGTGATGAAGAGTGTGTGATGAAGCACCACGCACTGCAGATCCAGCTCCAAACTGACTCAGTGTAAAATGAGAAAGAAGTTAGAGGACAGGGAAAGACGGCGTACACTTGAAAGACTTCTGTTGATTAATGCTGATATCTGTGATATCTGTCCTCATCATCATCATCATCATCATCATCATTGTTCAGTTCATGTGGCGTTCTGTCTAATCCTCATGTAAAGACTCAATAAAGAAATCAAACTCCTGCGTTTCCTCCGTCAGTCCTCATCTTCAGCAGTGTCTGACTCTCTGCTGCTCACGGTGATCTTCAGTAATAATCATCATAATGAAATAATTAAGCATTAAAGCTGATCACCATCTGATCCACCACACACTGCAGGAAGATCTGAATCTGCACAGCAGCTGCCGAAATGTAGATGTGTTTACAGTGTGTGTCTACAGTGTGTGTCTATTCCAGTGTGTGTCTACAGTGTGTGTCTATTCCTGTGTGTGTTTATCCAGTGTGTGTCTACAGTGTGTGTCTACAGTGTGTGTCTATTCCAGTGTGTGTCTACAGTGTGTGTCTACAGTGTGTGTCTATTCCTGTGTGTGTTTACAGTGTGTGTCTACAGTGTGTGTCTATTCCTGTGTGTGTCTATTCCTGTGTGTGTTTACAGTGTGTGTCTACAGTGTGTGTCTATTCCTGTGTGTGTTTACAGTGTGTGTTTACAGTGTGTGTCTACAGTGTGTGTCTACAGTGTGTGTGTTTACAGTGTGTGTCTACAGTGTGTGTTTATTCAGTGTGTGTCTATTCCAGTGTGTGTTTATTTCAGTGTGTGTTTATTACAGTGTGTGTTTATCCAGTGTGTGTTTGTCCAATGTGTGTTTGTTCAGTGTGTGTTTGTTCAGTGTGTGTTTGTCCAGTGTGTGTTTATCCAGTGTGTGTTTGTCCAATGTGTGTTTGTTCAGTGTGTGTTTGTTAAGTGTGTGTTTGTCCAGTGTGTGTTTATGCAGTGTGTGTTTATGCAGTGTGTGTTTGTTTAGTGTGTTTACAGTGTGTGTTTATGCAGTGTGTGTTTGTTTAGTGTGTTTACAGTGTGTGTTTATGCAGTGTGTGTTTGTTTAGTGTGTTTACAGTGTGTGTTTATGCAGTGTGTGTTTGTTCAGTGTGTGTTTGTCCAGTGTGTGTTTATCCAGTGTGTGTTTACAGTGTGTGTTTGTCCAGTGTGTGTTTGTTCAGTGTGTGTTAGTTCAGTGTGTGTTTGTTAAGTGTGTGTTTGTCCAGTGTGTGTTTGTTCAGTGTGTGTTAGTTCAGTGTGTGTTTGTTCAGTGTGTGTTTATCCAGTGTGTGTTTACAGTGTGTGTTTACAGTGTGTGTTTGTCCAGTGTGTGTTTGTTCAGTGTGTGTTTATGCAGTGTGTGTTTATGCAGTGTGTGTTTATCCAGTGTGTGTTTACAGTGTGTGTTTGTTCAGTGTGTGTTTGTTCAGTGTGTGTTAGTTCAGTGTGTGTTTGTTAAGTGTGTGTTTGTCCAGTGTGTGTTTCTGCAGTGTGTGTTTGTTCAGTGTGTGTTTACAGTGTGTGTTTATGCAGTGTGTGTTTACAGTGTGTGTTTATGCAGTGTGTGTTTGTCCAGTGTGTGTTTATCCAGTGTGTGTTTACAGTGTGTGTTTATGCAGTGTGTGTTTGTTCAGTGTGTGTTTATCCATTGTTTGTTTGTTCAGTGTGTGTTAGTTCAGTGTGTGTTTGTTCAGTGTGTGTTTATCCAGTGTGTTTTTACAGTGTGTGTTTATGCAGTGTATGTTTCTTCAGTGTGTGTTTGTTCAGTGTGTGTTTGTCCAGTGTGTGTTTATGCAGTGTGTGTTTATGCAGTGTGTGTTTATCCAGTGTGTGTTTACAGTGTGTGTTTATTCAGTGTGTGTTTGTCCAGTGTGTGTTTATCCAGTGTGTGTTCATGCAGTGTGTGTTGTCAGTGTGTGTTCATGCACTGTGTGTTGTCAGTGTGTGTTTATCCAGTGTGTGTTTGTTCAGTGTGTGTTTATGCAGTGTGTGTTTGTGCAGTGTGTGTTTGTGCAGTGTGTGTTTGTTCAGTGTGTGTTTGTTCAGTGTGTGTTTATCCAGTGTGTGTTTACAGTGTTTTTATGCAGTGTGTGTTTGTTCATTGTGTGTTTGTTCAGTGTGTGTTTACAGTGTGTGTTTATGCAGTGTGTGTTTGTTCATTGTGTGTTTGTTCAGTGTGTGTTTATCCAGTGTGTGTTTATCCAGTGTGTGTTTATCCAGTGTGTGTTTATGCAGTGTGTGTTTGTTCAGTGTGTGTTTGTTCAGTGTGTGTTTGTTCAGTGTGTGTTTATGCAGTGTGTGTTTGTTCAGTGTGTGTTTGTTCAGTTTGTGTTTATCCAGTGTGTGTTTGTTCAGTGTGTGTTTGTTCAGTGTGTGTTTGTCCAGTGTGTGTTTGTTCAGTGTGTGTTTATGCAGTGTGTGTTTATGCAGTGTGTGTTGTCAGTGTGTGTTTATGCAGTGTGTGTTTATGCAGTGTGTGTTGTCAGTGTGTGTTGTCAGTGTGTGTTAATGCAGTGTGTGTTGTCAGTGTGTGTTTATGCAGTGTGTGTTTATGCAGTGTGTGTTGTCAGTGTGTGTTGTCAGTGTGTGTTTATGCAGTGTGTGTTGTCAGTGTGTGTTGTCAGTGTGTGTTTATGCAGTGTGTGTTGTCAGTGTGTGTTGTCAGTGTGTGTTTATGCAGTGTGTGTTGTCAGTGTGTGTTGTCAGTGTGTGTTGTCAGTGTGTGTTGTCAGTGTGTGTTGTCAGTGTGTGTTGTCAGTGTGTTGTCAGTGTGTGTTGTCAGTGTGTGTTGTCAGTGTGTGTTTATGCAGTGTGTGTTGTCAGTGTGTGTTGTCAGTGTGTGTTGTCAGTGTGT